AGGTCAGAGTTTAACTGACTGAGCCACCCTGGTGCCCCAAGAGTAAAACTTTAATAGCCTAAAGAGTATAGGTGAGAATATCTTTATAAGCCTGGGTGAGGGAGTAATTTCTTAAGACTCAAAAACACAAAGCAAAGGAAAAGATTAATATGTTTGTTAAAGGAAATTTTCAGAAAAGGTAAAATCATACAGACATAAAATTAACACATATTAAAGATTTTATTTACAGTGAGCCTGGCTGGCTCAGTCAGTGGAGCGTGTAACTCTTGATCTCCAGGTTGTGAGTTTGAGCCCCATGTTGGGTGGAGAGGTTGTTTGAAAAGAATAAAACCTTAAAAAAAAAGATTTTATTTACTTCATTATTAATGAGGGAACCAGGCAGACATTACAACTGTTAAAATGAGAAAGCAGAGAACCACAAATTTATAGGGAATAAAGGCATGTTGAAATAAATTTCCAGGGGCGCCTGGGTGGCGCAGTCGGTTAAGCGTCCGACTTCAGCCAGGTCATGATCTCGTGGTCTGGGAGTTCGAGCCCCGCGTCAGGCTCTGGGCTGATGGCTCAGAGCCTGGAGCCTGTTTCCAATTCTGTGTCTCCCTCTCTCTCTGCCCCTCCCCCGTTCATGCTCTGTCTCTCTCTGTCCCAAAAATAAATAAACGTTGGAAAAAAAAAAATTAAAAAAAAAAAAAAAGAAATAAATTTCCACAGGCAGGTTTGGGGAAGGGGATTAAGGAGTATGAGCAGACTGAGTCAAACTGCCACCAGACAGAATTTTATTTTCATGTCCAGAGACAAGAATTATTTTACATAGCTATCAGTATCTGCAATATAAAATTTGTAAAATAGCTCAAAACAATGAGCAGCTAAAATCCAATAACCTGGAAAAATGAGCTCTAAACAATGCATAATTTTCCCTGGAGAACACCCAGCAATCCTTCATGTTTATTCCAAATGTCCTAAATATTTGAGTATATTTAAAAAAAAAAAAAACCTTTGATCTATCAAAAGACATTATAAATTAAGTGAAAACATAAGCCAGAGTAAGAGAAGCTTTTTGTGATGCGTATAATTAACAAAAGATTCTCCAAAATATGTAAAGAATTTCTACAAATCAATGAAAAAACGTAAAAATACCAGTAGAAAATGGGCAAATGTTATGAACAGGCAATTCAGGAAAGAGAAACAAAGAGAAACAGAGTGACAAATATGCTCAACCTCACCAGTGGTGAGAAAAATGAAAATTAAACCACAGTGACATAACACTTCACATTTGCTAGATTGGAACAAAATAAAGCAGACTGACAATTACAAATGTTGGGGACCACACAGTGCCATAGAAAAAAAATACCGTGAAAATGTGAATTGGTACAACCACTAAAACAACTGGGTTATTGCTAGTAAAATTAAAGATGTGTATGTCCTCAAACAGTGTAATTTATTTCCTGGGATTTTCTTCTACATGTGCGCAAGGAAATAGAAACATTTTGGGGCACCTGGGTGGCTCAGTCAGTTAAGCGTCTGACTCTTGATTTCAGCTCTGGTCATGATCTCACAGTTCGAGCCCCACATCAGGCTCTGTGCTGACAGTGCAGAGCCTGATTGGGATTCTCTCTCTCTGCCCCTCTCCCACTTGTTTGTACTCTCTCTCTCAAAACAAATAAATAAATTAAAAAAAAAAAAACAAGACTATTTTGACAGCATGGCCTATAATAGCAAAATATTAGAAAACATTGAAGTGGCCATCAACAGAATTTAAAAAATTGTGATATGTCTATACAAAGGAGTGCTATATAGCCATTAAAATGAAAGAATCAGAGCTACATGTGTGAACATGGATAAATCCCCCAAACATAATATTGGGTAGAAGAACATGTTGCAGAACAATGCATATGTATGTTATTGTCCATACCAAAACACATATGGAAATGGTAAAAAAAAAAAATGTGTGTAATATAGTAGTAACTTCTGGGGTAGGATGTGGGTGGAATCCAGGAGGGCTACAAAGGGTCTCTGTTGTGACTGCTTTATTTCTCAGGCTTCAGAAACTGGATACACAGTGTTTGCTGCATTTTCCTCTAAATTGTTATATGTCTTAAGTAGGTGATAGTTTTTTGTCTATGTACCTGGATTATACTTGGTATAAGTAGATTTCAGCCCCAAAGCTAAACCAAAGTCCCCTTTCCCCTTTTCTGTTCATTTCTCTCAGAAATGGACTTCCCGCTCCCCCCAGGCCAAATTTTGTCTCCTAAGGAACCCAGGGAGTGAACTGTAGGTAGATTCCTTCTCTTTTAGGAACACTGACTCTAGCAAGAGCTGGCACAATCTTTGTCAGGAGTGTCTGTCCTCTAGGAGGTGGACTGGATTTGCCTGCCAGCAGCCAGGTGTGGGAAGTCTAGAAGGAAGAGAAAAAAGCAGGTTTCCTTCTTCCCTAAAGGAAAGCCTTTCCTCCTGCCATACTGGGCTTGAAACAAAGCAAGATGTAGTGGGGATCCAGGTGGGGGAGAGAGAGACTTCAGGATAGGAATTCCTGTCCAATTCTGTGAAGGCCAGCTCTAATCTTTCCCCTGACCAATATTAGCCCTGCAGGGCACATGAGAAAACACAGCTCAGGATCCCACAGCAAAATGTGTAAGTCAAGGACCAAACACATCAAGAAGATATAATAACCAGGAATGTATATGTATGTGGAATAGACATTTATCCTGCCAAGCATCCTCACCCACTTCTCATTTTGAAGGATTCTCTACCTCCCCCTATAGAAGCTCAAAATACCCTACTGTCATTTTGCCAGTGTCTTGTCCTCCGAGGCAAGTCATGAGACCAAGGCTCTGCTGATGGACAAACATTTGCCTCCCTCCATTTAGGAGCTAGTGACACAAGAGAGCAGAAACTACAGAATTTGTCCAGCAGGCTGGGGTCTCCAGCAAGACTGAGTTCCTGTGGCAGCATTTTGGCTCTGCTGCTCACATTCCAGTTGTTGGGAGCTGCTCAAGGCATTGGGGAACAACATGTGTAGCTTTGCAGAGATAGCGTGATATCTGCAGCTTCCTCATGTGGCTTCTTCCTTGGCTTGCTGTGCAGCTCCTGGCTGGGTAGCACTGAGCCCAGTTGTTTTAGGTCTTCCAATAATTCTGGGAGGTACTTTTTCTGCTTAAATGGGCCAAAATCAATTTTGTTTGCAGTGTAGAATCCTGACAGATGTACCTAGCAACACAGCCTTTAAACTGATGAAGTAAAAAGGATCAGAATCACATGGGGAAACTGACAAATGCCTTGATCAGAATGGAAGATGTAAAAGTCATTCTTTCAGAAACTGATAGATCCGGGTGACAAAACATCAACAAAGATTCCGAAGGTTTGAACAAGGTGATTTGAAAACGTGATCTAGGGGTACCTGGCTGCCCCAGTTGGTGGAGGATGTGACTCTTGATCTCAGAGTTGTGAGTTCAAGCCCCATGTTGGGTGTAGAGATTACTTAAAAAATATATATTAAAAATAAAACAAGATAAAATAAAATAACATGTGATTTCATACATATGGATATAAATAGAGCCTGATATCTAATAAAAGCAGAATTAAACCAGTCAACATACATGTAATGAGCACATGCTATGTGACAGGCACTGTTCCAGACACTTGGGATACATCAGTGAATAAAATGAAACCTCTCCTCCATATGGTCCCTTGCAGCAACCTCCTCTCAGGAGGCCAGAGTGAGTCCTTCTTCTGCCATGCAGTCACATTCCCCTTGCTCTGGGCTTGGCCTTATCAAAGCATCTTCTCAGCAAAAGCAAGCTTCTTCCTGTAAGGAATTCTTAAACCACTGCTAAGAAACCAAAATTATCTTTATCTTGTTGCACAGAAAATTGACTTTATAATACTTTTATCTAGTGGGGGTGATGAAAATATTCTGGAATTAGATAATGGTGATGGTCACACAACCTTGTGAATATACGAAAGCCCACTGAATTGTACAATTTTAGAGGGTCAATTTTATGGTATGTGAATTATATGTCCATTAAAAAAAAAGATTTAGCAACTGGCCCAGTACCTATCATTCAATAAGGGCTGAATAAATGATAGATGCTATATATCTATCATCTATACAACTATCATCTCCTTTTAGCATTTATCCTTAAAAACAACAGAGATGCTTGGGATATCGTATAATTTTCTAGAATCTTCTCTCATTCACCACTATCATGCAAGTCTGTAGGGACCCTAGAGCTGATAACATCTGTGGCTTTCATATGCGCCATTCTGATTTGGGTTCAGATGTTATGTATTGGGGAGCAGAGGAAGCCTGCATCTTTTCCACTAAGCCTCTCAGGGGTTGATGGTCATCCCCTAGATTATTTGTGCTGTTTAACGAGAGGCAGGACAGGGTCAGTTTATAGTGTCAACCTCTCCTTATATACATAGCCAAAGATAAGGTTAAAATTTAGAGCTCCTGTAGTTAAAAAGTTATTTGTGACTCTCATACAGAGGTATAAAAATTTGCTATTAGACATTTCATTAGGTGCCTTTACAGCTCCCACCCCCCAACATGTTTATATATAGTGTTCATCTTCTAAAAATTAATAAAAAGAAAGCTTTGCAAAAGTTACCAAAACAGGGGCGCCTGGGTGGCTCAGTCGGTTAAACATTCAACTTCAGCTTAGATTGTAATCTCACAGTTTGTGGGTTTGAGCCTTGCATCAGACTCTCTGCTGTCGACACAGAGCCCACTTTGGATCCTCTGTCCCCCTCTCCCTATCCTTCTCCTGCTCATGTGCATGCGCTCTTTCTGTCTCTCTCTCAAAAATAAATAAAACATTTTTTAAAAAGTTATGAAAACACTAAAAAAAGAACCACACTGATGGATGAAAGACACACTGCATTTGAAATGCACATTAAATTTTTACCTGGAATGGCAATCTGAGATACGAATAACTTTTTAGCTGATGTGTATTTTTTAAATTTTAAGAATTATAAAGTTACTTTCTCTTTCTGCAAGATAGCCAAGAGGGGACAAAAGCTGAATTATAAGCCCACACAATTTATGGTTCTTCAGGCTTGCCACTTGGTGAGTAGCAATAAAATAATTTGATAATAGTGAGAGAAACTCAAGAACCCAGGAGGATATTTGATATGGCACTATAAAAAACAAGCCATCATTATAAATTTAAAGGTATTATATAAAATAGCCAACTGGTACACCCAATCCACAAATCACCTTTGACTACAGACTTCAAGGTCATAAAAAAAATGAGGCTGTTTACCCTAAAGTTTGATACAAGATAGTATAAAGAAGACATGTTTTGGGGGTTCTTTTTTCGGTTGATAATATTGCCCTGTGTACCTTCTTAAAGAAGAACAGAGAGAAATTATTTATTTCATTTGGCAACAATACAGTTTCTCTCTTCCAAAGAACTCAAAGTATTTGTACGAGTATTCACTGATAGCCTTGTAGAGATGGAGGAGCAGGGGGGAGGGTGGAGAAGGCGGCAGGGTGGAAAAGTGAGAGAGGATGGAGAATGGGGGAAGATGGAGAAGGGGAGGAGGGTGGAGAAAAGGGAGCAGGATGCAGAAGGGGGGAGAGTGGAGAAGAGGGTAGGGTAGAGAAGGGAGAAAGATGAAGAGGGGAAGGTAAGGAGGGGGAAGGTGGAAGTGGGGAGGATGGAGAAGGGGGATGAGGAGGAAGAGTGAAGGAAAAGAAGGAAGGGCCTGCAGGGGCAGGTGCTAAAAATGGTGAAGTAATTTTCCTGTTTTCCTTAATAATTCCCAGGATGTCTACAACCGTGTCAACTCACTACTAAGTCAGCTGCAAATTACTCGGTTCCCAACCTAATATTTGGTGTACAAATGAGGGCACTGTGCTCTGTAAAGTTGTTCTTGCACAGTTGCGTCTGCCTCAGCTGGGAAAAACGTGTAAGTATTTGCACAAACCGGTCTGTTATCTCAGAGAATCCAGGATTGTTTCAAAGTGGCTTCAATTCAGTTTAGTGGGTAATTATTGAGCATCAACTAAGTTCTGGGCCTTTTAGGGATTTGGTGGCGAATGTATTCATGCAGGCTTCTCAGACTGTGCTCCTAGGGTTAGTAACATTTGCAGCCCCTGGAAATTTTTAAGAAATGCAATTTCCAGCGCCCCACCCCTTGCTACACAAGTCAGGGATTCTGGTCCCGTGTCTGCATTTTAGTAAGTCACGGGGTGACTGAAGCACTACAGTTTAAGAACCACTAATGTTGTGTTAATGAGTGACTCTCAATGCAATAAAGCTCAATAATTGTTAGATGAATGGATGGATGACAAAACAAACAATAACAATAAAATGAAGGGGCTGTTGCGGAGATTGGGGCGGCACAAAATATTAGCATACTCGGAAGAAAGCATCCTCTGTCAGTCTCAGCCTTTCCCTGCTTGCCGGCTGGGGCACACGCCTGTGTTCCCAGCATGGCCACTGCTTTCTTTTTCTTTGTTCATTTGTTTATTGATGCTTGTTTACTTCCCATTGTGGGAAGAACAAAACAACAAGAAAATAAAGACGTGAACATGATCAGACAAAACCAGAGGCATTTGAGAACTGGTGATGTCCTCACAGCAAGGTTGGTTTTGATGGATTCTTTGGGATAAGAGTGAGGAGCGCTTGGTTTGTTATTTATAAAAGGAGCAGAATTCACTGTTGGTTCCCTCGGCCCTGGTGTGCACCACAGGCACCTCTCTTCTCCCTCATTCTGGAAGAGGCTGGCAGAGCTTAGCTCAGCTGGCTTAGTGAAGTCGGAACTTGCCTGGGGACACAAAACTTCCTCCACGAAAGGTTTTTTATTTATTTTTTTGTTAAATAAAGGAAACACTTTTGTGTCTTCTAAGCTGCTGCTGGCCTCCAGCCTGGCTCCCTGCAGCTCCTTCTTCCCAGGATCTGACTTAGAGTCACGGGGGCTTTCTTGGCATTCAAAACCCTCACATGTATCGGAGCGAAGTAAACGCAGTGAGAACCTCTTTCAGTGAATTTCCAGGGAATCTCAACTGTGGGAGCCCCGGAAAGTCCTTCTGCCCCTGAGGACACTGGAGCCACCTAACAGATGAGGACACTTGGGTTTCGTAATGTAACTTTTGTCACAGTGGAGCACGCTTTAGAATTTCACTTCCTGTTTTAATTCTGTTTGGAGATGAAATCTGCTGAGATTTCATTTCAAAAGAGCAGTTCGAACTTCGTCCGGAAACTTTCTCTGCAAACTAGAAAAGCGAATGGGAACAAAATTGTAGTCAGCGCCTACGGACAACCAGTTACATACTAATTTGAACAGCCAGTGAATACTGGTAGTGAAGTGCTGATGGTATTCAGCTTTGGGTTCTGGGCACCAGGGCTTTGGGGGTAAGGGGCTGGAGAGCTTTCCACTGGCGGGATTTCGAATGCAATCTCAGACAGCCAAGGTTTTCCAGGTGGGACAGCCCAGGAAGGAGAGGGAAAGACTGATAGAGAACAGGGGGCTGAGGTGTGGAGGGAGAGAGGTGTGAGGGCAGCCACAGGATATCAGCAAGGGATAGCAAAGGCTTAAAAGGCTGTGGGGAGGGGCGCCTGGGTGGCTCAGTTAGTTAAGCATCCCACTCTTGATTTCGGGCTCAGGTCAGATTTCACGGTTCGTGAGTTCGAGCCCCACGTTGGGCTCTGTGCTGACACTGAGGAACCTACTTGGGATTCTCTCTCTTGCTCTCTCTCAAAATAAATAAGCTTAAAATTAAATTAAATTAAATTAAATTAAATTAAATTAAGGGTTGTGGGGAGTTAGGCTGTGAGGCCTTGTGCCAAGTTAAACAAACACGGACTTCATTCCACTGGCCAGAGGGAGGTGTGGACGGTGTTTCCTCAGGGAGGTTGGGCTGAGCCTATCCAGTTTGACAAAGATCACTCTGTGGGAAAGAAGAAAGCAGCTGGGAGGCTGCTGGCATAGCCCAGGTACAAGTGGCAGGCACGAAGCTTCGTCCAAGTCTGGGGCTCTTCCCCCTGCCCCAGAGCTCCCTGGCTGAGCAGAGTTCGCAGTCCCCGTGGAACTGGAGGCACAGCCAGAGACAGAATATGGCATGCCTGAAAGTTCTTCAAGGTATTAAATTTTATCTTAAAAATTCATGCAGATGTTTGCTGCAGGAAGCTGGGCCGTATTTTTGTCCTATGACTTAAGGTGCCCTATGCGTCCTCCAGGGCCACCCATTCTCCATGTTGGGAAGGGGTCTGCACTGTGTAAGCCTCTCTGTTGACATCCCTTTGCACGCTAATCGAGCAGGGGTGCCAGGCTCATCGTGTGGAGCAGTGAGCCATCTGTACAAAGAGTACCTTTCTGTGTCATGTAGACAATGGCTTCACTTGTCTTGAGCGAAAGGATTTCCTGAATTGGATTTCATTTAATTAATTCTATTGTCCTTCTCTTCTAATATTTTCCTCCGCTTATTATGATACTCAGTTAATTGGCTTGACAGATCCATAGATAACAAATTGGCAGGCGTAGAGGACACACTGACTGGCCAATGGGAGGTCTGTAGCCTTAGCTCCGTTGCGGAGTATTTTGTATTCTCTGTCTGACTGTTCTAAGACTGATCGTAGTAGTTAACGTTTACTGGGCACGCATGGGGTGCTGGACACTACTCTGGGCTACGTACTTCATTTCTTCTCTACAGCTGGCCCGAGGTAGATGATGCTATTATTCTATTATTCCCATTTATAGATGAGAAGACTGGGATAGAGAGCCAGGATATGACCTGAAGTGGTCGAAATCCAATGTGCGAGTTTTCAGTCTCTTCACTCTGGGAATAAAATGGAAACTTTCGTGCACGACTCGACCAGTAACACTTAAGATCCTCTGCAACCTTGGCATTTCCTGATTATGTGAACTTTTATTTTTAAAAATTTTAAATGTTTACTTCTTTTTGAGAGATAGAGAGAGACAGACAGACAGCATGAGCAGAGAAGAGGCAGAGAGACAGGGAGACACAGAATCCGAAGCAGGCTCCAGGCTCTGAGCTGTCAGCACAGAGCCTGACGCAGGGCTCGAACTTGAGAACCGTGAGATCATGACCTGAGCAGAAGTCAGACACTTAACCAACTGAGTGAGCCACCCAGGCGCCCCCTGATTTTGTGAACTTTTGAAAGAGCAGATTGATCCCGAGGAGAATGGGCAGACAGACTACAATGAAATCCACTTTTTCTCTAGGCGACCTCCCTGAGACGAAAGGGTACCCAGTAAGACTTTTCTTTTCTTTTCTTTTCTTTTCTTTTCTTTTCTTTTCTTTTCT